TCCTGGGGGTCTTTCTTGGGGGGAGTTCTATTCTGGGATGATCCTTCCTTGCTGGGGGGTCCTGTCCTCGGTTAGCCCTTCCTGGGGGGTCCTGTCCTGGGATGGTCCTTCCTGGGGGGGAGTCCTGTCCTGGGTTGGCCCTTCCTGGAAGGGTCCAGTCCTGGATTGGTCCTTTCTGGGGGATGGGTTCTATCCTGGGGGTCTTTCTTGTGAGGGCTCTATTCTGGGATGGTCCTTCCTTGCTGGGGGGTCCTGTCCTGGGTTGGTCCTTCCTGGGGGGGGGTCCTATCCTGGGCTGGCCCTTCCTGGGGCGTGGGTTCTATCCTGAGTTGGTCCTTCCTGGGGGGCTCTTGTCCTAGGATGGTCCTTCCTCAGCGGAGTCCTGTCCTGGGATGGTCCTTCCTGGGGGGTCCTGTCCCGGGTTGGCCCTTCCTGGGGGGGTCCTGTCCCGGGTTGACCCTTTCTGGGGGGGTTCTGTCCCGGGTTGGCCTTTCCTGGGGGGTCCTGTCCTGGGATGGTCCTTCCTCAGGGGGGTCCTGTCCTGGGTCCTGGCGGAGGGGTTCTGTCCTGGGTTGGCCCTTCCGGGGGGGGTCCTGTCCTGGGTTGGCCCTTCCTGGGGGGGTCCTGTCCTGGGTTGGCCCTTCCTGGGGGGGGTCCTGTCCTGGTCAGTCTTTTCTGGGGGTCCTGTCCTGGGGGTCCTTTCTGGAGGCTGCCGGGCAGCAGGCTCTGTGACAGGCTCACTCTGTTCTGTGTTGCAGCTTCATCCCCTACTGCTCCAGTGATGTTTGGAGTGGGGCTTCATCCAAGTCTGAGAAGAGTGAGTCCCCGACCTTCCCAGGGCACAGCAGGGCAGGGACAAGGCAGGACAGCAGGGCAGGGACGAGGCGGGACGGGGTGATTCTGGGGAAAAGCTGACTCTCAGCCTTGTCTCACTTTCAAAGCCCTTGACAGTATGTCCCAGGGTGCCTGACCCACGCATTCACTGCTCGCTTGTCCACGACTGTAAGGGGTCCTTATTTCTGAATATTCCCTGGGGAGGAGGCCCCAGCATGGCCTGGTGCACCCACCTTCCTCCAGTCTACCCCAGCCCCTGACGCCACCTCAGAAGATTCCCCCTAGCCCCCCAGCAGGGCAAGAACTCCTCTGCCAGCCATTCTGGGGTAGGAGGTGGTTCTCTCTGCCCAGGCCCCTACCTGAGGCCACCCCGTCCCTCTTGCAGACGAGTATGCCTTCATGGGCGCCCTCATCATCCAGGAGGTGGTGCGGGAGCTTCTGGGCAGAGGGCTGAGCGGGGCCAAGGTGCTGCTGCTGGCCGGGAGCAGGTGGGCAGGGCGGGCAGGGGCTGGAGGTGAGGGGCGAGGACGGTGTGCAGGGTGCATAGGAGGGGTGTGGGGTGGGGGTGTATGGGAGGCGAGGAGGGGGTGGAGTCTGTGCATATCTTGGCAGGTGGCTGGGAGGGTGAGAGGCTGGAGCTGGGAGAACCCACATCACCGGGGACGTCTCTGAGGCCTGGCTTCAGAGTGCTGGGTAACCGGACGCTGTCTAGAGGATGTTTCTGGACCCCATGGTTGTTGGATATAGCGGAAGGTTCGGGCCGCAGGGACCTAGGTCGTTGGTTAGAGGTTGGCCATGGTGTAACACCCCTTCTCCAGGGCCCGGTAGGTGAGGATCACCCCTGTGGGTCCCTGTATCCCAGCAGGCATGCAGGAGACCCAGGGGACATATGGGGAACAGATGAAGGGGCCTGAGGCCATGTAGTTTATCTTCATTTTCAGATAAGGAAACTGAGTTAAAGAGACAGAGAGAGGAAAGGGAGGAGAGAGGGGAGAGCCTGGCTGTGTCAAGAACATGTGACCTGCCAGCCTCAGCCCTGGACTGTTCTGGAGGGGACAACCATGGGTCTTGCACATGAACAGAGAATGCAAAATGCATCCGCAGTTCAGAACGCATCAGGACTCCTGCCCACCTTGGGGCAGGGGCTGACGCTGAGCAGACTCGGGGGGGAGGTGAGTGCCTCTCCCCAGCCACCTGGCCTCACATCTGGCCCTCCTTGCAGTGCGGGGGGCACCGGGGTGCTGCTGAATGTGGACCGTGTGGCTGAGCAGCTGGAGGAGCTGGGCTACCCCGCCATCCAGGTGCGAGGCCTGGCTGACTCCGGCTGGTTCCTGGACAACAAGCAGTATCGCCACACAGACTGCGTCGACACCATCACGTGTGCGCCCACAGAGGCCATCCGCCGTGGCATCAGGTGCGCCAGTGGGGAGGGCCCATTCCTGCGCTGCAGCTCTGCCCCAAAAGGGCCTGGGTGGAGTGGCATCTGTGGGCGGGGAGCTCCGGGGGACGAGGCCCACAGCAGCCTAACCTGTGTTTGTGGCTCCAGGTACTGGAACGGGGTCGTCCCGGAGCGCTGCCGACGCCAGTTCCAGGAGGGCGAGGAGTGGAACTGCTTCTTTGGCTACAAGATCTACCCGACGCTGCGCTGTGAGTGGGCGGCCGAGCGGAGCACACAGGGCAGCAGTGGGGTGGCCACACTTCCTTGCTTCTGAAAATCCAGCGTGGACTCCAGTCTCTCAGGCTGGGCTTAGAAACCACTGCCCTGGTCCAGGGAGGAGGCCGGCTGTGTGCCAGGGGGACCAGTCGCTGCAGCGTGCCTGGGACTTGCCTGCCCTCAGCACTGACACCCCCCAGTCCCAGGCAAAGTGGGGCAGGTGGTCACCCTGTCTATACCGGGGGCTAGGGATGTGCTTTCGAGCTCGTCTCCATGCTGCCCCTCCCTGCTGCAGGACCCCGGGCCGGTTCCTCCCCAGTCCCACACTCTGAGGAATGGTGAGGTTATGTGCAAGGGCATCATCACCAAATTTCGGTGGAAGTGGAGTGGCTGAGAACCAGGCCAAGGTCATGGAGGAGTTAACAAGAGCCCTTCCTCAAGGAAACGCAGTTTATGTAGTTAGTTAATTATGAACCTATGGATTATAAAAAGGCTGGTTTGAAAGAAGGAAGCCACATTCTGTGGGGGCTTATGACTGATACCCCTGGGGAGAGTTGGGCCAAGGCTAGCTGGCCTGTGAGCCTCAGCGGCACTGCAGGCGGCCGGGGGGGTGCTGAGCTCTGAGCCTGGGGTCAGGGGCAGCAGCAGGGACCTGGGAGTGCTGAGCTCTGAGCCTGGGGTGAGC